ATGATCAATGGCATTGCTGGGCCCATCAGTTTCAGATATCTCGTCCAGCATTTCTGAAGGTTTTTGTGAGATGGATCCAGTATAAGGTTCTGCTTCATCTGTATGTCTGCTTGCCTCATAGAAATCGTGAAGGTTATCAGATGCTTTTTTGGATGAACTTGGCTTGGATTTAGTAGGGAGGTCTATTTCAGTGGCTTCAGAAGGAAGTGGGGCATCTCTAATTCTGGACTTATCAGCACCGTTTCTTGAGGGTTTCTCAGTGATAGGAGAGGTAGCTGGGGTAAAAAAATTGATTCTTCTTTCGACAGGAATAGGAGATTTTTCAGGAATTCTAGGAGTACTTTGGAGGGAGGCTGGTGGTCTTTCTTCATGTGTAGTAGAAATGATAGTGTGTTTGCTTCGGATATCTGGAGCTTTATGAGTGGTAGGAATACTTATGCTTGAGGAGACTGGTGTTTCATCACGGGAAGTTTCAGTAGGATGAGGCTCCTCTGCTTGAGGAGCCTTGGGAGCGATGATACTAGCAGGGGGGCGAACCAATATCGTGTGAGGTTTTGTGCTGGGTTGCTCCCGGGAGTCTAGACGGAACGGGGATCTGCTGGTTGGAGGATGCTGTCTCCGCCACTGACGCTGTTGCTGCTTCTCAAGTTCCTCCTGTTTGCGCTGCTGCTGCTTGTCAAGTTCCTCCTGTTTGTTCTGCCGCTCCACCTCATGCATAACCTTCAGCACCTTCTGCCAAGAACCCCGGCTAGAAATATCATGCCACCACCTCTGCACATTCTTCCTTGAATCATACAGGTACAGAAACTTCTCAGAATTTGTGATGTGGTAGGAGTTTGGCAGGTGTACGAGGTCAGCAAGAGTGAACTTGTTGCCAGCAAGGAATTCACTGTCACCAAGCCTTTGCTCATAAACTTCCAGAACATCTTCTAGCTTTCTCGTCTGCAAGTCTATATCATCATCTTCTTCAGCAACAGGAAAGGCCAAGTGGCAGAACAAGGATCTGCTCGGAGGATTGAAATTATGTTCTTCATGGTGGAGCCATTCCTCGATGGAAGCCCTCTCAAGGGAATCCTTCCCAAGGAGAAATGGGTATCCATGATCTTCATAAGTCTCTGCTATATGGCGGCAGATTTCTCTTGATTCTGGAATTAAAGACAAACATAAATTTTGAATATGCATAAACCAATAATCATTTTCATGAAGACTTCTTTTCAATAGCACAGAAAAAGTGCCAGAAGAGTGGAATATAAGAAAATCTAGGAGCAGTTGAAATTTAAATATATATTTCAATGTTAATGATAAAATTTCCTTGTTACTGGCAAAATAGACATCGGTTCTACTTTATGTGCCACCTACTATGAGAAATACTCCCTCCGTCCGGAAATACTTGTCATCAAAATGAATAAAAGAGGATGTATCTAGATGTATTTTAGTTTTAGATACATCCATTTTTGTCCATTTTGATGACAAGTATTTCCGGACGGAGGGAGTAAGTATGAGGAGCAGTTCATCCTGGATCATGTTGCATCCCCTCAATGGAAAGTGTGTGCTCTCAGGAACTGCCAGGCTCCTTGGGTCACAACATGATCTTCTGGAGTGTCAAAGTGTACTGGTTTTATATTCAGCCCACTAAAGACCTATACCTATTAGCATGCCAAAGATTATCGCCTAGTGTTAATAATAAAGATAGTATGACAATTATTACATCAACTGTCGAAAGAAACATTATATCAAATTTCAGCTTAAATACTTCGTATCACATCTTACATAATTATTCTGTTGGAACATTTATTTGCTCCTCTATTTTTGTTATATACTTATGCTGGTACATAATTTAAAATATATTGCTTGAGTGCCTTCAACTGTATCTAGGACGAGAGAATTGTTATTGTGATAAAAAAACACAACATGAGAAAAATTATGTGTTCATTTGGATAAAACCCGCTCACTGTCCTTGGCATGGCAATATGTACTAAAGCCAATGTTCTTCAGGCACAATTCAGCATATATATTTTTACAGTTGGCAAGTTTAAAGGAAGAAATTTCCCATCTTGGCTGAAATACTAACAGTTTACAGCTTAATCGGTCAAAAGGACATCATAGCTTAATCATAAATGGACAGCATAGCTTAATCAAACATCATTGTCTATACAGCTTAAATAGTCGATCAAAGTCCATCTACACATGAAGAAACATCACAGTCACACATTCATTAAACTTACCCAACACAAAGAAAAAAGACTGAAATTCCACCAATAATCATAACTGTCCAGTGTAAAAAGCCATTTAAGAAAAGCTTGCACTATTGCAGTTTCATAATGAGCTCCTGACAAGCACTGAAATATACAGACTGGAACATTTACATGATCTATGATGTGCCTTTAGTTTGTTATAGTTTGTTTTGGAAGGAAGCTCTTACCCAGCCCCACATAACATGGCTTCCATCTCAAGTTCTTGATGAGATTTTTCAGTGTAGGCTCAGCCAATATATGGGAGAGCTTACATAGTGTTCTAATGCTCAATTTTGTTATTTATTAACACACAAAACATATAGCAGTGACAATATTCATCCTACAGATTTTATTTATGAATTAAAGGATTGTTTTCCCTTACAATCAACACATAACCATGGCAAACCTAGGATTTATCTTCCATGGAAGAATTTGTCATTGGATAATATTAGTCACACAAAATGTAAAAACAACAATATAATCGGTCATCTAGCTTCTAAGAACAAATTACACGAAAATAAAATACTAGTGTTTAGCTGATGGAACAAATTACATCAAAGAAAATAACAGTGTTTAGCTGATTCGCGTCCCCAAGTAACGTGAATTTCTCCGATCTATCCTTTTTATGGAAGCTATATTTCTGGAATCTGCTTATGGCAAGTTAATCATGATCGTAGTTATTTCAGCGTGGTGTAAGTCCGTAAAATTCACTATGCTGTTCTGGATCAAGCTATTTGGGAGCCTTTAGGGACAAGCAGGAAGTACTAACTACATTGATTAACTATCAGTGCAAAATGAAAGAGATATGGTATGGTGAGTGACTGAAATTGGAGCCTGCATATGCCAAAAGTCTCGAGAATAAAATTTGACAAGAAGCACTAGTGTGTTTTAGCAGATAACAGTTTTACCAGACTATCTGGATTTTTCACTTGTTTCTGATACAGATTCCTAGTCAAGACCCAATGAATGTCCTTGTAGCAGGCTAACTAACAAGATCATTTAACTGTAGAAAAGAAGGATAAGCATCCAGACATGTAGGACTAAAATGAAATGGTAACTGGACTTCACAAATCTGAAACCTTACCTTCTAGGAATTTATTAGGTCCATCATAGAATGGAACTGGAACATGGCCCGATGCCTGTAGAGCGCACATGAACAAAATGTAATGATGGTATTGAACTGTTTTGCTAGAAACTGATATTAGACTGCTTATGGTCTTGAACAGCTAATTCCATGCAGAGTTGAGAATTAGAGACACCACGTACCTGAAGTCTGAGTAGGCTCTTGTAAGAGGAGAATGTCTCTCTCGTAAAGTCGATTTCCTTCTCGTACAGGCATGCAAGCACCCTTGACACATCTGGTAAGATTATAGATTTCTCATGATACACCTTCACGATTGGTGCTCCAGTACCAAGCCCTGCCATGGTGGCCAGAGCCTAGGTTACCAGCGCTGAAATGAGGTGAAGTATATGTATTAACCCATCCACAGGCAAATATGATAGGTTCCATGACTCTCTGATCAAGCAAAGAGAAGATGCTTAAAGTGGGAAAGCAAAGAAGGGAATCGATTCAGTAGGAGAACAGACCAAAATGAGTGAATACTGAGGAAGGACAAGAAGGAAACAGAGGGAAAAAGAAAAGGCAAAAGGCAGGCTTTGGATCTATCCATCTAATCATGTTTTACAACAACAAATTCACGCTACAAAACCTTTTTACACTTGACATTTAAGGAACTGTTGTGACATCCTAAAATTAAAAAAGTAGTTCCTTGGGAAATCCAACAAGAAGCAGATCTTGTATGTCCTTGTCGTCGACATGGAATTGGTGCAGACAAATGCAGTCAGGGACTGCAAACAAGACATCATATGCCACCATTAGTGTTTTTTTTTACATGGCCACCGGAAGTTATTTTTCATAAAAAGAAGCAAACGTTCAATTTTTTGAGATAATACAACCATAACCGAATGGTTATATTTTTAATCCAAGCCAACGGCGTAGAACAGGTACGTTTCATTGACGGAGTACTAGGTAAAAACAGTGACTCTGCAGGCAAAGAGTAAAAGCTAAGCGTTGTCACCTGCTGCAGCACCACTTTATTCATTTCTTGGCCATTACATCAAAGGAGAGCAGAAAAGTAAGCTAGTGATGCAAGTTTAGCATCACAGGGGCTACGGAGCATCAAAAGGAACAAAAATATTGGCAGGAATGAGCAGCCAACTCCAGCTCGTCTTTGTTCAGAGCAGAGTTGCGCATGCATGTGCCTTTGCCGTTTCACAAGACAAAAACACGCCGCAAGCTGATAAGAACATCAGGATAGTATCATGCCAAGACGCCATTCCCAGAAAACAAAAAAAATATTGGGGAAAACCCGGAAAACCAGCCATGCAAGAACATTCAAGCTGCGAGCAGGATGTAAAGAGGTAATTGGCAAGTGAAAGAATCACAGCACGCCCTAAGCTAGGCTTATTATTTCATGTGCAAGTTACAGCCTGTTAGAGGAATCAGATTAAATAATGTACAGTCCACAAGCACTCTCTCCCTATGTTACATGTAATAGAACCCGGAAGTAAATAACCAGACAAAAAAAAACTATTGGCTGCAGCCGATGAGTGGGAACTACAACTGAAAAGTTGTCATCCGGCCCAGTTCACTGATGCAGCAGGCATCCATCTGGATGTACTGGCGCTGGGTATTCTGACAAACAGGCGCTGATCTTCGCTCAGGCCCGTCCAAATGGACTGCAAACCATGTACACCTGCGCCACCTTAGTGTCCTCGCCCCCTCAGAGACGAAAAGAATCCCCCCAGGGATTTGTCCTTGTGCTTCCCGTCATGCTCATCTCCAACCTGCACCATCGCTTTGAATAAGAACGTAAGCCTCAATGCATTAAAGTAAGTCGGTGTGCAGTCTTGGTCACAAACCTCCTCTGCTATTTTCTTAAGAGCTTCTAATATCTCCGAGAAATCTGGCCTTTCAGCAGGGTCCTGCTGCCAGCACTTCTGAAGGAGCTCCGCAAGCTTTGCATGAGCATTTTTTGGTATTGTGGGCCGCAATCCCTGAGAAGCAAGATTGACATGTTAATAAGATTGTACTCCCTCCGTTCCTAAATATAAGTCCTCAATATGGACTACATATGACGCAAAATGAGTGAATCTACACTCTAAAATGTCTATATACATCTGTATGTGTCCGCACTGAAATTTCTAAAAAGACTTGCATTTAGAAACGGAGGGAGTATAAGGTAATTATATCTTTGCATTTATCTTTAAATTAGGAAGTACTCCCTCTTTAAAGAAATATAAGAGCGCTTAGATCACTACACTGATGTCCAAATATCATTCGTTTTGCTTGTGCGTCAGCGAACCATTCCTAAGAGTATGTTAACACTGATCATATCTTGAAATCCCATGATATCATGGGACAAAAGAAACTCAAACCAGGTTATGTTATCTGTGCGCAGTAGTCCAAAGCATATACGATCATTATTATGGTTGGTGGATATGATAAATTGAGTAAGAATCCATGTCTGAACATAGCAGTAGTCCAAAACATATATGATCATTACCATGCTACTGTGTGGTGGACATGATAATTTGAGTAAGAATCCATGTCTAAACATAACAAGAACAAAGAAGACTGCGGTCATGGAGAAATGACAAGCAATTTTACCTTCTGAACCACACCTACAGCTGCTTGTAATGGTGTCAGGTACTCGTAAGGAATCTGCAAGCAATAGATGTATAAACAAAACTCATTTAAAACAATGCAGTTAACATAATGAACTAACAGTGGCAGAAGAGTGATGCAAGTACCTTCCCAGTGAGCAGTTCCCACAACAAAATTCCAAAACTAAAAACATCAGCCTTGTGGTCGTAGGGCTTGTGTTCTATAACCTATAACAGACAAAACTTTGTAAGGTGATATATCAATCAAAAATATTTCACTGATGACCTCTATTTCTTGAATTCACCGCCACTGCACTATTAAGATACAGAAATGGTAGTAGATGAATTTATTGTGAAGAAAGGATAAAGAGGTAACAATCAAAGGATGCAAGTCCGTAAAATATTCTCTCTAATGACAGCGGTTTGCACACTATCTCTACCAATAAATAATAATTTGCTGGCTAAAGATTAAATACAGGTTTTTGTTTTCGTTGTGGGGAATTAAATACAGGTTTAAGAATGAAACTTCCCCTTTCGTTTCAAAAATAGCAAAGAAACAAAATAATCTCCTTGCTTCTATCAAGCATATGGAGCAATACAATGTTGTCCACATGTCAAGCAATGCCATCGAAATGAACTCAGAGCAGTGCCTCGTCTCATTTGCGAGGCGATTCAGAATGTTTGGTTTGAGCTTTTCAGAATTGATAAGTGGTGAATCAATGTCCAAATGAAGGATCAGTCATACTAAAATTGAGATGCAAACATGATTACTTCTGCATTATGGTTAATCTAAAAAGATGAGGAATGATTTACATTTTAGCAAAATATCATGTGCTAGCTTGTTGATGTTTTTGCGGTGCTTACAGCAGCTTCTCAAGACATAAGACGCCAATATGCCAAATTCTGGAACTGAATCAACTAGAGAGAAGCAATGGGGAACTGGAGGCCAGGAGAGAGCGACCCTCAATCGCGTGGTACTGACGAAAAGAAAGCTTCAGGAGTTGGGAGATGAAGAACATGAGGAAAAATGCAACTGCTGCTACACTACAATACACTACCATCTGATGGGTGAATATCTGAGTAAGATTATGTCTAGCATCCTTGTGTAGGTCTGGTAGCAGTTTTTTTACTTTAGAGGATAGCAGTTCTATTTTGGTCTCACAAGTGTTCATCCTTGGGGTGGTGCGATGGTGCCGTATTCCAAGGGTTGTAACTAAAACATTGATAGGTTGCTGCTGCACCAGAATGCTTTAGATCACAAGTTCACAACTGTTGAACTCTGTGGTTTCTTCTTTTTCAATGAAAAAAAGTTGATGGCCAGGTGTTTCCTACCCTGTCAATCTGTCAACCTGAACTCAGAGCTTGGGTATTCAGGCTCGCAACCTCTAATGGACGTATCTGCTCTTTACAGCTTAAATTTAGCATTGGTATTACATAACAACCAAGTTGTGGTAGCGGTAGTAATGATAGAGAAATCACCTCTGGGGCCATCCAACGGTATGTCCCAGTTTCTGCAGTCATTACTCCAGACTGAACTTTAACACGTGCAACACCAAAATCAGCAACCTTAACCATCTGTAGAAGGAAACAATCAGTTCGAACAATTAGCCAATTCTTCTTACTGAATCATGCACTAAACGAAACAACGGTTTGCAGTAACACATTCATCACATGTACTCCCAACCAGGAAGAAGGTTCAAGATACCCAGTGGCCAGCCACTCATCAATCACAAACAAGATTTGGCTAAGTAGACCAAAAATACAGCTAAACATTGTGTTATAGGAGAACCCCTCTTATTTTTGTGATAAAACATTTTTTGAGCTGGAGAAGTAAAGGCATGTCTAGGAGTTTGGGCTAAGATTTGTGGAACATCATTTCCAAGGATGCATGCATCATGAATAACTGAAAGTAGACAATACTTACCCCATTTTCATCCATAAGAAGATTGGCGGTTTTCAGATCCCGATGAATAATATTATTTTGGTGTAAGTAGCTCATGCCTTTTGACACATCCATTGCAACTCCAACTAAGGCAGGGAGCTTGAAGATACCTTTATGCTTATGAAGATAATCATACACACTCCCACCGGACATAAATTCTGGACGAGTGAAGAAAATGCAGGTTCAGTCATTGTTACTGTTACTGCCACAATAGGAAAATGGAAACTTGGAAGGGAAGGCCTTTGTTTAATCATACCTGTGACTATGCATAGCCTTGGGGGTTTAGTGCATGCACCAATAAATTGCACAACATTCTTGTGACGAACCTTCCTGAATTCCAATGTATACTTCATAAACTTAGAAGGTAAATGGAAAAACAGAGGAGCACTTCTGGAAGAAACTGATCGCTAAGGGTGATACTTTTAACATGTAGCTATAGTTACATAACTTGTACTGTGAGACATCAGTTAATAAGCAATTAAAGAACTGAGAGAATAAGATGTTGACAGGTAAATGACAGCAAGGGTGGATCTTTATCATCTTAGCATCCTAAAAGTAAATATTTCAGCAGAGAAAACGTGACAACCGGAGCATCTGAGAGATTGAGACTAAGTGGCTGTTTGGTTTGAGCCCCAACTTGCCCCACCAAAATTTTGGCAAGTTGTTGGTGTTTGGATTGTGACCATCATATCCTCCAAAATTTTGGCAATGAGACTGTTGTTTTGTTTGTTTGCGACCAACTGGCATGACGATTATGCTAGTCGAAAAATATTTAACTACATCTATTACAAAATTGAGAAGAAATACATTTCAATACTTCAATGTGTTTTTTTCTGTAAAAACTTATATTTAATCAATGTTAACAGAAGTCACCAAAAGAATGACATGGCATGCTGCATGCACTTCGTTTTGCTATTGTTTGGATACTGAAGAATTACTGTATGCAATTGCTAATCACACACAGGACCGCATATCTTTGAATTAAAAGGTGCCGCTGATTGGTTACAGCCAAAAAAACGGCTTATCCTAACTCATGCATGCGGCAGAGCCCACCATAACAACCAGGGTCCAGCGCCAAAATATTGGCACAGCTTTCTTGTGCCCTCGTGACGTTCACGCATTGGCGAGAAATACATGGAGGCGCTGGGCAAGTCTGGTGAGCCAATTTTTTGGTGCAGATCCAAACAGCTACCAAATTGCATGGGCTAGCCAATTTTTTGGCAGGGTCAGCTTTGGTAGCAATCCAAACAGGCCCTAATATTTTTAAGAATGGTATTCATTGTGTAACAGAAGAAAATGACTAAGTGAGATGACATAAATACACAGAGGGGGGAAACACAGGTTTATGTGCAAAAGCCTTTTTTTTATAAAAGAAGGGCTTCTCCCTTCCGATTTTCATTAACAAAAACCCAAGCATCCAAACTAAACAAGCTACGACAGGAAGCAAACGCGAACAATCTACCATGCTCCTCTCTCTCAACTCCACCCCAAACCTCCACAGGGAGGCCTGTCAGAGCTAAGTGAAGAAGAAACACACCTACGTCCCCAGTTTATACTTTGTTGCCATTTAGTTAGTCCCCAGTTTCACATGTGCAAAAGCCTTAAACCTATATTGGGAAAACAGAGTATATGATGTAACAAACCTCATAATATAAACTTCCTGGGCAAATTCACGCTGCATGTCCACATTTACCCTCTCAGGTTTGAGCACTTTAATAGCTACATCTTGACTACAATATGTACCCCGGTAACTGGTAAAAGAACGAGTCAGTTACGTGATTGCCTGAAAACTCCACATAAATTTTCATGATAGCCAGGAGTGAACACTCACAGATCACCATATGATCCAGATGCTACTTTATTCCCGAAATCGAGTAGTTTTATATCAATTTCCCATTCACTGGCACCATCTGTAGGTATAGCAACATGATCGGCTGTTGAGTTCTCCACGATCTGCATATTTTCAACTGGAGAAGACCATGAATGAGATGTAGACCATGCTTGTGTCTGCCCAATTCAAGCCAAAGCAAAATATGAGCACGAAGAAAACAAGCATGTGAAACTGGGGACTAACTAAATGGCAATAAAGTATATGCGTCTCTGTTTCACCTCCTCAATCTTGCTGATTTCTTTTTTTAATTCTTCTATCAAATCCTCCGTTTCCTAAATAAATGAACAGATCATTAAATGTTAAACAGCGACAAAACACAAAATCATAGGTCCAAAGACAAAATGAGGTACTGAAATACCTCAGCATGCCAACCAACAACGACAAACACATCGAGTGAGTAGCCATCATTTGTTGAAAATGCATGTGCTTCTTGAATGTTGAGACCAATTTCACCAAGCAGACATGTCAGCTGGGGGCATCAGAAAACATGGCATCACTAAACAAATAGATGAAACACACATATTCAGCGAACTGGTATTTATTCAGGTTAGATACCATGAATTATGTTGTTAAAAAATCTAGGGATATATAGATAGATATCCTAAATAAAATCCACATGTACATAGATCCCTGTTTACCTCGCTGAGAAGCTTTGGTTTGTCAATGGTAGAGAAAGTGATTTCATGCATGGGTCTGTATGGCATACAAATACAATCAAATCAGTGTCCTCGGCAGAGGAAATAGCACTTGCAGAACAAGAAAATGCAATAATTATATACCTATAATATGTTAACTGTCAAGTGACATAGTGATTTAACAAGAATATTATTGTATGAGGATAAAATAGAGGCAAAGGTAACTAGCAAAGTCTTACCTGTAGAGAGATCGAACATTATCTGAGGTGCTATCCTGATCTTGGCCTTGCGACTTACTGGCTTCAAGCGCAAGGGCCTCAAGGTTTGTAGATGAACCAAAAGCAGGAGGAGGGTGGATGCTGAACATAACTTGTACATGTTAGGAATGAAGGAAAATTGAACCACTGGTAGAGGTAGTATTTTGCAATGCATGGCAATAAGAAAGATACAAGACATTTTCCAATCAGCAAAAATATTTAGTAGCAGATTGAAAAGCGCAGGTACCTTTGTTGCCTATTCAACAGCCTTGAAGCAACTTCCTCCCCTGCAGTGTGTGAATCAGCATCAGTCTGATTCCCATCAACAATTGGAGATACCTAATGAATCAAGACTCAAATAAGGACAATGAACAGCATAGAAGTTTTACATCTGACTGCAAGTTAGCAACTATTTTTGCAGTTAAAAGAAAAAAGAAATGCACAACTTGGAAATAAAATAATGCATCGGCGCTGCCAGCTAATAATGGGAGAGCTTAAACTTTCACTCAGTAAGTAAGTGGTTAAAATCAATCAAATTATGCTACGCTCAGAGGGGACGTTCAGGCTTTCTTTTATCTCATTTTAAAAATGCTCGAGGACCCCCACCCTACATCTACTCTTTGAACATCATATTCATAGTAGAGCAGATTTTTAACAGTTTGATACTCCATCAGTCAAGTAGTAAATACCAAAAATAATACTTCCTGACAGTGTTAGCATTTAGACGATTCAAAAGCCCTAACGTGGCAACTCTCAAATCTCAAATACAGTGGTGACGGGATACCCATAAGGCATCTTCTCAGTTGGTGCTGCTGACAGTATAAACAAGTGATGTATCCGGAAGTGGTAATACCAAGTGCCAATGAGCCAATTCCTTGGTAGAGAATACCAATCCAGTTTAAGAGAATACTAATAAAATGTCCCCATTCTTTCCGGACGGTGAAAGACGTGTTACCACCGAGAATGAGTGTCATTGACTAGGCTTCAGTGGTGATGGGATGGAATGATTATAAAAAAGGAAATCTGAAGGGCAGAAAACTGAACCCCCAGCCCACCGAGGCCAGCCAACCAGGGACGATGAGCACATAAGTCAGACCATATAATACAACTCGGGACAATCGAATTTCAAGTCATGTACAGCGGTCGATCACATCAGTGGCGCTCCGAATCGCATTCCTAAACCAGCACGAGCACGGGGGGGAAGAAGCCCGTCGTGATGAGGAACGAACGGCTCACCTGCACGGCCCGCACGGCGAAGGCCGGGCGCTGCGCCGGATCCCTGGCCAGCTCGAGGAGGCGCTTGTGCGTGAGCACGTCCTCCGCCCTCTCCACGTTCACATCCATCGCGTAGCTGCAACCCAGGCCGAAACGCCAAATCGAGAATCGTCAGTACCGCCGCGTCGCAGCCGTCAGTGGGAGGGACCGGGAGGAGGAGGGGGCGGGGGCGTTACCGCGCGGGGAGGCGGTTGAAGTGGCTCCAGAGGTCGTCGTCGAAGCCGGGGGCGCGCTCCTCGGCGGCGTGGAGGCGCGCCAGCACCTCGGTGTAGACCTCCAGCTTGTGGTGGTGCTGCTGCTGCTGCTTCCTGGACTGCGCCCCCGCCCCCGCCCCCGACCCCGCGGCGCCCGGCGGGGACGAGGACCCTCCGCCCCCGCCCCCGCGTCCGCGTCCGCCGCCGCCCGCCGCGGCGGCGTGGCTGCCGCAGCTCTCGGCCACCTCCTCCACCGCCATTACCGCCGGGCCCGATCTCGGTCAGTCGCTCGCGGATTGAGGGAGGGAGGGGAGGCAAATCGCGCGCGATCGATCCCTCGGGCGAGGGAGGGTGGGGAGAAAAGGGGGAGGAAAATGGAAAGAGGGAGAGGGATTTCGAGAGAGAGAGAGGGAGAATTTTGTGGATGCTGGTGGCCACAGTGGTTTTATATACGTGCCCGCCCGCCCGCGAGTTTATCTGCCGCCCCGCGAGTGTGCGGAACCCCTTTTATTTTCTTTATATTTAATACTCCCTCAGTAAACTAATATAAGAGCGTTTAGAATACTAAAATCTCTCTGTAAACTAATATAAAAGCGTTTGGATCACTATTCTAGTATTCTAAACGCTCTTATGTTAGTTTATGAAGGGAGTACTATTTATGAAGGAAAAACGAAATGGAGTCAAATTCATCTGCTCGGTCGCAAATAAAACGGGGGCTGTGGCCAACTCGGCTTTGGTCTGGGGCTCTCTCAGGTGCGGTGCATCGGCGCTGCGGCCATTGTGGAGCACACTGTCTGCAGTGTAGGAGTAGGATGCTAGTACTATTATTTTTTTGCGTTATTTTTAAATCAAACCAGTGTGTCTGCCATGGACGTGTAGTAGCCGAAGCTGAATTGGGTTATTCGCCGCATCTTGGACGAATATCTGCGGCTGCTTGTGTTTTGTAAGTAGCAGTGAGTTTGGGGTTTGATAAGTAATTGTGTCGTCCGTTGCTTAGGAACGAGGCAACCGGCCGAGCGGCTACTAAACGTTCTTATTTTTTTTATGACGAGGCCCTTATGGCTTTCGCTTTGGACACTTCCATCTAGTGTATATATCTAATAAATATGCCAGAAAAAAGGCCGAAATGGAGAAAATAAAAACGTGGAGCGCGACGCTTGAACGCAGGGTTTATTTGGCGTGGGGAGTGAGTTAACATTCCGCACAGAGTATCACGGACAAATTTGGCTTCCGTGATCGGAAACGAGCACGATAAGTAAGAAGAGTTAATTCTCGGCTTATGTGGATGGAACTCGTTAACAAGCGTGTGGAGACACGAGCGGCGGCGGCGTTCATGCTCGTGTCACGCTCGGCCATTCGCGTGGCCTGGCAGGTAAACCGCACGTAACTGCCAGTCTGCCACGCTTCCACGTTCATTTCGCTTCATTTTATTTTCCGACGATTTTTTTTCCGTTTGGTTTGGTTTTGAGCGGAAAAACAAAGTGTGCGATTTGGCAGGCCACCGACAGGTCGGGCCCGCGCCGCGTCACTCGTCGGGACGGCACTTGAGCGGGCGCGACGGGCCGACGGAGCGATCGAGCGGAAGGAAACTGTTAAACAAACGCGCGGCAGCCGGTAGCCGCTCCGCTGCGGTGTTGTGCTCGCATGGGGTGCCGCTTTTTGGATTCGGCAGCGCGGGGGATAAGATGGATCCGTCAGCACCTGGTCACCCCCGACCCGCCCCACTACCCACCCCTAGTAGACGGGATCACCACCATCATCATCATCACAAAGCTACATCACCCCACCCACACCCAGCACCAGTATACTATACTAGTAGTACTACAACGAAGTAGGAGTACGTAATATTTTATCAGTGGAACTCGCCACCAATTGTTTTTCTACTGGTAACTAGCATGGCACTGCGCTCGGTCTCGTTTCGCCGGTCGTCCTGCCATCATTTTTCAGAATATAAAGGATTTACGTTCGGGATATGCCATATGGCCCCTGCGACGAATTTTGCAGGATATGCTTCTGGGCTGGGGCAGCCACGCACTCCGGAACAGTGCCTCCGCACTCCGATCTGCTAGTGCTACGCGCTGCTGGGTAGCTCCACGACCACGATCCAACCAACAGGATGGATGACTGGACCGCGCCAACCGACCAACAGTGCATCGGAGGGGATATTCGGATCCATCTGCTCGGGTCACCGGATCTCCTTCCATTCTCAGCTCATCCCCACGTTTACCTTTTTTTTTCTTCGACAAAGGAAGGACGGTTTATTCAATTTTTTATGTCCAAGTGATATTTATGTCCAAGTGATATAGCCGTACCGTAGGAATGGCCGGCGGCTGCATTCTGCATACTCCCTCCGTCCGCGAATAAGTGTACTTCTAGCCTTTGTTCTAAGTCAAAGTTTTAAAATTCTAACCAAATATATACAAAAGAGTAGTAACATATATGACATAAAATTGATATATTATGAAATTACAATTCAAAACGAATCTAGTGATACTAATTTAGTGTCATAAATACTGCTACTTTTTTTTATAAAGTTGGTCAAAGTTTTAAAATTTTGACTTAAGACAAAAGTTAGAAGTACACTTATTTATGGACGGAGGGAGTAGCTAGCACGATGCAGTTCCTTCCCTAGGTTTATAGGTAAGCTAGTAGCTAAACAAAGTTCTTCGTGCGCCCATTGGAGGAGGAGCGGAGGAGTTGACGCTAGACAAAACAAAGACTCGCACGCGTAGCTCAACCGCACGTACACGATGAGATGGGATCCATAGAGTCGAGTCGAGCTGATCCTACTCGGCTAGCCCCTCCCTCTTCCTGCCTCTAGCTAGCAAGCCTGAGAAACTGCTGTGACAGCGACGCGCCGGCCATCGCCAAGATGCCCGGCTCATGGCGCGCGCTCCGCCGCCGGCCTCCTTCACTCATCACACTGTTGCGCGCAGTCTCTCAGCCACAGAACCAGCCAGGGGCCGGAGCGGGCACCTGCTACTGTTACTGTCAGCGGCGGTGAGCCGTCGCAAGCTGCTGCTAGTGCACGCTATATGCTATGCTCACGTGAGGCCACCATCGATCTGCCCGTGGGCGCGCTGTGGCGACGGGCACATCGATGGCGCCGTGACATGGCATCTCGATCGTGCGATGGCGTCCGGGGACCCATCGCTTTGCCGGAAACCACCACCGCGCGGCGGGGGATCGGTGATGGAAGAAGGGATCGCATCGGGAAAGAAATGAGGAAGGAAAAAACACGAGGCCTCTGACGCGGCGACAACTCGGCGCCATGGAAAAGCGATCCGCGATGCGCGAGGGTGGAGAACCAACGATGCGACAGGTACGTGTGCTGTGAGAATCGCGGTTGCACTGTTGCGAGGTTGAACATGCATGTTGGACCAGGGATGATGGCTGGCTCTGCCGATCTTCTCGTCGTAGTAATACTAACATAAAAACTCGACAAATGTGTGAAACATGCGCCGCAAACATCACCGGCCGGCCAGATCTCGTGCAAGGATCCGCTCCATCAGACGAGCTTGACTTTGAGTCGACACTGCATGCCATGTCATGCAAGGTTTCCTCCCTTGTGCATGCGAGGATGAGACAGGCCATTTTTAACTGCCTCTTGGCCTCCTCGGTAAGCTGAGCTCCATCCATCCTCGTCGCTTCTAGTGTGGGAAAAAGGGAGTCTCATCCATCCATCCATCGTCGTACGCGTCGCCACCCAGCACGTGCAGCTTGCAGTAGTACGACGGACTTCCCCGAGAAGAAGAAGAAGAAGTGGCCCTTGCCGCCCGCCAAGGGGTGCTCGCATTGCCGCGTCGCACGACAGCGCCTCATCTTATCCACGTGCTTCGTACGGCTGCCGTGGCCGGGCGCTCCGTCGCCCCACCGTAGACGGTGGACGGATCGTATTTAGCAAGGTTATCCTATCCACGGTCTGACAATCATGATCCACGTCGCTTTCCATTGCTCGCTCGCTCCTCTCCCCGCAGGAGCCCGGAGACGCTACCCAGCAACTGCTACGTACGTACTACTGCCGGTTAATCACTCATATAATCTTCCACAGCTCCGGCCTAATCTCCTCAGCATTAGATTACGACTGGCGGCGCTATTAAAGTGCCGCTGGAGCACGTACGTACCCCAGAGGGATAATGGACCATGTGCTTTCCGTGGAGGAAGAAATTAGATGCAAGTAGTTCCAACTCACAAGCCATTGATGCTTTCTATCTATAATCTACCTTGGCGAGTCGTCTCGTTCGTACCACTACTAGCTAGTAGTGCCTTTGATTGATGGCGAAAGCACTACTGCGTGGTTAGATTAGGGCCGGCATTGGGCCATGTGTTTTCTGCGGCCGAAGAGATAACCACTCCTGTAGGGAGCACTTGCGAGCTGCGACCAACAATTTCCAATCGATCGCACTCGCCTCTCATGCCATCTAACCGACACCTAAAGTCAGGGATAAACGATTCCAAAAAATAAAAGATTTATTGTGCTAATCTGTGTGCCACCTCATTCACCTCGCGGAAGCAATGTGAGTATTCAACACTAGCAAAATCCAGAGCTAGCTGTTTACACTCTGCCACCATAACCGCATCAAGTCCAGCATGAGCATCTGGATTTTGTACTGATTCAACCACAAAGTTGATGTCTGATTCAATTAGGATCTTATTGCATTCAATCTTCCCCTCTAAGTATAGGCCATTACGAATTGCTGTTATCTCTGCAGAGTCAACGGTGCCAACCTGAGGGATGTGCCAAGTTGCTGCAGCGATAAACTTCCCTCGGCTGTCGCGAGCGATCCCACTTGTTGCTCCTGACAAAGTTTCAGCTTGGAAGGTCGCGACGACATTGATTTTAGTCATGTCGCTGAGTGGACGCTTTCACATGTGATCATGGCTTCTATCCGGCTGCTTGTTCGTGTATGCTCTAATGAAATTTGTAGCTAAAACTCTGATTGATGTAGCAGCTCTATCCGCAGTTTGGATCGCTTCGCCCTTCACGTGTTGGCGGCGCTGCCACCACAAGTACCAAGCAGCCACCATAATAAATTTTGCAGTGGGTAGATCCTCCCTAACCGTTTTAATCCGGCTAAGAATCTCGACTGTAATCGAACCTGAGCGATCCTGCCCAACCGCATCCGAGATGATTTCCAGCAAACCCAATTCAGTTCAGACTTCCTTTGCCCGTTTGCACGTAAACAAACAATACTGGATGTCTTCCAACCCAATAGAACAAAAAGGACATTGGGGCACTGCCGGAGTATGCCTATTAGCT